AACATATATTCGCTTAAAGTGTCTGGCGGTTGGACCACGGTATATCCTACTGGGTCGTCAAAGGGCTTTTCTAAGCTGTAATGACCAAGCCAATCTAAAGCCCCAGTCCAAATGCTCACTGTCAAGTTATACTTTTTAACTTAAATTTTCTCTCTGTTCGCTTTTCCGTGCACTCAAGGCCAGCAATGAGGCACTCTAAAGCGGCCACGTCAGCAGACTATCTGAAGGGAAGATGGATTTCTGGGTACACGCATAGCTAGCAAGCGAGCGGCATGGCGTAATTGCACCAAATAACCACTGATGTGAGCAAAGGTGCTCAGGTTCTTATATAGAGAGGCCAGGGCGACTCATGCCGGAGCCGAGGTGCGTAACACACACATGCAGTTGTTGGTGGAGTGAAAGAACCGTAATTTTGTGATACAGTATTTATGTTTAATAATGATATCAATACCCCCCACCCCCACGAGTGAGGTCTGGTTGTGTGTCTTAATGGACTGGCAGCCAGTAAAAGGTGTGCCCCACCTCTCAGCTGGTACAGGATCCAGCTCATCCGCAACCTCGTGAGAATAAGCAGTATTGAAAATTTGTTGGATAAGTGAGAGTAATTACGGTCCCTGGCACAGGCATACAATGTCAGGCGTTAGGAGCGAAACACTGCACATACTGTAGGGTGCACCATGCTGACTGCATGCAAGCTTTACAATAAATCAAACGTCTTCGTAAAATCAGTAAATGTGAAGCACATTGAGGATCTGCTGGAGACAAAACCCATGGCAGATGAAAATGACCTGCATGAATACTTAATGGACAACTGTCAGATGCCTATAAACTGAGGAGGGACTTTTCATATCTGTTTTTTATCGTTTGGAAATGTAGCAGGAAATAGACAGCTCGTGAATAATGTATCATCATATCAAACCTATAATTTACAATATGAATCTTAAAACAATCTGCTGACTTAGGGCATTATCAAGCAATAAATATGACACATTTGGAGGGAACAATACTTTTGCATTAAGTGTATTGGAAAAATACCAACATTGCAATGTGTCACTGCAAATATACCGTACTTTCTTAAATGTAGTTAATATAATGAAAAAAAAAATTCTAATATATTTAGGTTTGAAATCTTTCATAAGTAGATGGAAATCTTGGAATAAATCCATTCATCCCTGCTGTTAAAAGTGACTTCTGCCACCTGAGCACTTAATCTGGCATTTCGCTATTCATATTTCCCTCAGTTTCTTGTCAGAAGTAAATAAAGAAAATGGTACATGAATTTATTTCCTGTTGGCATCATCAAATTTTTGTCAGGGAGAAAAATGGGGGTCTTGCAAATGACACCATTCAAGCTTGGGCCCCACTGGCTGTATCAATGGTATCATTTGTAAAGAAATTGTGATATTATCCTAGCATGACTAGTGTACGTGTATTGTCACATGTGAGCCCTTTTAAATTGTACCCAGTGTGCAAACTGAAGTGTAAAATGAGAACTATGTAGTAACACCACAACATAACGAATGGGAAGAGGGGTCGTTAGACCGATGGCGAGGCCCAAGCTAAGTTTTATTTTCACTAAGCTTTCGAACACAAAAATGAAGTAGATAAAAGAGCGAGTCTTGATCCCCCTCAGGTCATTGCGGGTTGAAGTGTCGCAAAGTTGGCAAAGTTTCAGATCCAAGTTGATTAGCGACTGAAACTACGGGCTCCGCTCTCCTCTGGTGCTTTTCTCTCCAATTCACCCAACCCCCTCGAGGCTGCACAAGTCGCTAACCTGAAAAAACGCTGCTCGAGCTGTAAAATGAGAACGTGCTTCCTTTCTTAGACGCCTCTGACATCAGACATAGGAGCTGCGTGCTTTGCGGATATAAAACATGAATGTCTGCTCACGGATCAGGTGCCGCTCGTTGGACTGAAAATAACTCCAAGCAGCAGGCATCATTCAGTGTAAGCATATGGATTATGTGAATCATGCATGCTGGCTCTTACAAAATGAGATAATACACGTGAATGTGTTTGATGCTAATTGTGCTAGATTTACAATACCAGGACAGCTGTATAATTTAACAGAAGAGATTCCACAGTTTGTATGCACTGCAGTATGACTACAGTCGTACTTAGTTCACTCTCACTTGGTTGGACTATCTTGACAAGACCGGTGTCCATACTGGACTTAGTGTGGTTGAAAGATGACATTAATCTACTAAAATAAATAAATGTTACATAACAGTTCACATAATTCTACCACATTCTACCATTTGAAACGGCCACTTTCAGATGACCATGAAGCAGATGATCTACACTGAAAAAAATGGTGTGTTGAATTTACTTATTTAAGTAGACTATACATCTACTTCAAAACATGTATCTCAATCCAAATTATTGTATTGTGTGTAGCCACTGATCAAATAAAATTGAGTAAATTACACACACCATTTTTTTTTTCAGTGTACACAAAGCCAAAGCTTTCTACTTGTAAATTGTGGTGAAAGTTTCCAACAGTTAAAAAAAAAAAAAATACACACAATTACAGGGCTGGAATTTTTTTTTTTTCGCCAATAAACCGGTAAGGTTCTAAGTCATAGTTATGAGATACTATTTTTAATAATGAGACATTAAGTAATAATTATGCCACATGAAGTCATAAACATAAGATCAATAATAACAAGGAGATACGAAGTCAGAATTACAAAATAAGTCATATGAGATACAGTACTCTCTGATAATTATGACTAAGGTCAACCACCAATAACAAAGCTTGGGCTAAATGTGTAGATTTTGTCTTGTAGCGCTTAAGTGACTTTATTACTTTAAGTGATTTTTATTCTGTACTTTCACAACAACTGGGAATAAAGTATGCACCCTCCCATCCATTTTCTTCAGCACTCATCCCGATTAGGGTTGCAGGTAAAACCAGAGCCTATCCCAGCCAACTTTGGGCGGGAGGTCAGGTACAACCTGAACTTGTCGCCAGCTAATCGCAGGGCACTCATAGACAAAAAAACGTTCATACTCACATTCAAACCAATTGACAATTTAGGAAGGTCAGTGCACCTAACATGCACATTTTTGCAATTCAAGAGGAAGCGTGTAGTATGAGTATGATATGACAAATAAATCAAAGTAAAACAAAATCAATATTTTTGCTACCCTAGTTGCACTGTTGACACTTGAATTCTTTACACCTGAGGCTGTGTTGCTGCCAATCAAGTCAGTGAGACTGTCACCTTTTTTGAACCCAGGTGGCATTCACAAAGGTCAGACGGAAAGGGTGCCAAAGAAAAAGTTAAATCATTGAAAATGTCAAATGAATACTGGTCAGACAACTGGAAGTTACACCGTCATCTGTCATGGCACATCACCAAGTTCGAGAGCATGCCAGCAAAACAGATCTTAAATAATGTCTACATTGACATTTATTTTATTGACATTTCAACCCTCACCTCTTTTTGAGATAAGCTTTGCACTTTTTAATGAGCACACTAAATATTGATCAGGCATTGAAACAACAATAGGACAAAGGTTTCGATACAGTACATTGCATTGCACTGCAATGAAGAAGACACCTCCAAGTACCGTGTTCTATTCTTCCATCCATCCATCCATTTTCTGTTCCACTTTATCGTCACAAGGGTCGCGGGGGGTGCTGGAGCCTATCGCAGCTGTCTTCGGGCAGTAGGCGGGGTACACTCTGAACAAATCGCAGGGCACACAGAGACGAACAACCATCCACGCTCCCACTCACACTTAGGGACAATTTAGAGTGTTAAATCAGCCTGCCGTGCGTGTTTTGGGAATGTGGGAGGAAACCGGAGTACCCGGAGAAAACCCACGCAGGCCCGGGGAGAACATGCAAACTCCATACAGGAAGTTCCGGAGCCGGGATCGAACCCATGACCTCTGCACTGTGAGGTCAACGCGCTGGAACACCGGGCCGCCCTATTCTATTCTTTTGTTTACCTATTCAGCTTCACACATGAACCCAAACCAGCTACTTTACTCTTCTCCAGTTCCCAAGTGTAATATTAGTTGACACTGGGACTTCCCGGTCGAGTCGTTCTTTGCATTACAAGTGCAAAATTAACATAGTGAAGGTACTTTCAGCTGTAAGAGAACCATGAGTTGTTATGAGAGTTTTAATGGAAAATCCAAAAGTGCTTCACTTCATTAGGTTTGATATACAACCTGAGTGTGCACAAAAACAAAACAAAACTATGAAAGGCCACACTGAAATGAAAAAAAGGATTATTAGAGTCAATATCACAATAAAGAGGTTTTTTTTGTTTCCTTATCAGAATCACTCAGCCATCATAAAAAATGTAGCATAATAATAACCCTCTGAAGTCTTTTTGGAATTGGCTAAACATTTTTACAAATACAATTAGAATGAGAAGTCTCTGAAAATGTGTTTCCTTCAATCATTTTTAATTGCATGCACATGATTTTGGCAGCTCTTACACACCGCTCTGCCAACTACAGTGTGTGTAATTAGCGGCTAAACAACAAATACCATGTTTACCGGGTATTATTCTTCACAAGTTAATTTCTGAAGCAAGTTATTTTGATCATGTATAGTCTAGTTTCATGATCCGATTGAATGTTTTGCATGTGTCCCCGAAATTGCTGTACACCCTGTCATTGTAGGGTAAGTTGACAGCAATTTACGAAGTTATGCAAGTGTCATAATTTTTGTAATCTGTGTGAAATTGGAGATTGCTGATGTGTGAAATATTCATTAGTATAAAAACCTTTCCGAAATTCTAAATTAGCTAAACGGTACATCGTCAGCTTGCTAAGTCAATCACATTGTTGAGTGAAGGTTCACCATTTGCTTATTCAATAAATGCTAACATTAGCCCAAAATGCCCACCCTGTTAGGAAACTCAAATGTTTGGCTATTTGCGTTCGGGGTGAAGCGAGGCCGCGAGTAATTCGAGTGCCTTGGTTTAAAAACAAAAAAACATTCTCAAGGCATTTTTTTTTCTTCAGGTACCCTCTTGTTTACGTGAACACTCTCAAGATGAAGAGGGCAAGTCAACTGCAGCAAAAAACTGCTCATGCTCTGCATGACAGTAACACGCTGCCTACGTGGTGAGAAATCAAATTTCAAAATAAACCTTACTTTACCAAATAATATATGGATGTCAATACCTTGATGTTAATTGTGCTAGATTCACAAGAGCAGGAGAAGTGAAATCAATTAACAGAAGAGATTCCACAGTTTGTCTTATTTTGAAGTTGTTCACATCAGTAAACAACAAGAGCTTCCCCCTAAACATCCTACAGTCCACCAACGCTCTCAAGAACATGATTTACAGAAGTTGCCGCAAACAATTTACGCCCAAAACAGTATATAATGTCGGAATTTCAAGGCAGTTGTTGTTTCGGAGATATGGCATTGTAATACCCAAACCCCAAAATTGTATCGAGAAGGCTAGTTTTGATCTGCCCTGCTACTCCTTGTAATTGACAGAGAACACATTGCACCTTTTATAAGACAAGTTACATAACCAAGATAAACCATACATGCCATTCAGTTACAAAAAAAAAGATTCAGTGACTGCATCATGAGGAAATGAAGTCAGATGCTTGGTTGTGTGCATTCAGTTTCTGTTTGGCAAGCAAATCATAAAGAAAACACTTTCTGTGGTGACAAAAAGTTGTTTTTTTTCTCGGATTTCTATAGGATTAATGGTCCTTCAGGTAGCTTCTATTTTGTGACAAGCTACAAAGAGGGCTTGCAGCGAGCTTGAAAAAGGTGTTTACTGGTGAGATGTAAGGCGCTGCCTGCCTCAACCTGTGAGCTCCCATGACTCTCAGCTGTGTTGCGCAGATGTAACTCCAGTCATGTCAAAACAACTTCTATCATAGCTATGAACCACAAGGAGAAGGAAAAAGAATCCTGTTGTAGCTATCATGTTCCCTGCGTGACCTACTTACACTCCGAGGACTAACTTCAGTTTGCTTTTCTGAGTTTTCGGGAAAACTCTGAATGATGGTTTTGAAATGTGCCCTAGTTTGCCAGTGTGTGAATTATTTTGATGAAGGCCGATATATTCATGTATTTTTTTTTCTTACATTTTCCATTTTTTAAAAAATATATTATTATAAGACGTTGCATAACTATTTTTTTGTTTTTATCCTGGAAAGACCTGGGACTGGCCTGTCAACGGGTGATGAATCACGTTCGTACGATTCTTCTTTTCTAATTTACAAACAGTAAAAATAATTTACAAGAATATCCCAAATCCAACGGAATGTGCACAACCCCCCACAAAACATTTTTTTTTTTGCATTTAAATTCCCATGATGCCAGCTGCGTAAATGGTTTTACCAACAACTGAAGATGCCCTCTTGACTTCTACCAATTGTGTTGAATGCTGTAATTTTTTTGAATAATTTTTAAACAATAAGTAGTGACTAATGCAGAAATTTTGAAGCAGTATGGTTGAGTGACTGGGATAGCTGTTCTGTTATGAAATGCTTGCAAATGAAAATGCAAAAAAAAAAAAAAAGTTGTTGCTTCTTTGCCAAATGCCCTGATAGGAAGTATAAATGAATGCTCTTTTGCACCATTCAAACTTGATAATAGCATATCAAGTATGATATGCGATTAACAGGCAAAGAATCGACCAACACAGACGGTCGATGTTAGTGTTTGTACCAAAGCGACTCAAATCATTTTCTTTCTTCATGTGATAAAATAAAATTGCTTGAGGCCTTTTTATAATGTAGAAGGTGACATGACAGTATCTGACTTCACCACTGAAATCTGACCGCAGCTAACGTTAACTTTCTTTGGGTATTTTTTTTTTTTTTCAAGGATGAGACCAGAATCCAATTCCACCTATCGTCTATATTGAATTCTACAATAATGTTGCCACGCCAATTGTTTCAATATCTGATCGCCATGAATCTGACACTAGTGTGGGTGTTTTCATCTCGTTATGGCTTAGAAACAAAAACATAGGTGTTTGCAGAAAGCTGCACACCCGAGTGCCACAAAGGGAGCACGAAACCAACATATTTCTTCCAAAAGGCATCCTCCGGGGTGAAATTGAATCGGCTATGATAAAGCGGCAATGAATACCGATGAGTCATATCTACAAACACGATACACTGGAAGCACGGAGAATCAGTGGTAAGCATGTCTGCCTCACACTTCTGAGGTTCTGGGTTCAGGCACAAAATGTGCAAAATTGTATTAGAATAGCCTCATACAATCAAATGTAATGATCTGGTCTTAATTTCATGGCATTACACATGAGTTCTGGCTTTGAGTGTAAACCGATGTATACATCCCCAAGCAGAGGGTTGAAGCATCTTTACAGATGGCTTCAACCTTGACTTACGTCGAGCATATGTTATGCATATAGACGATGAATGTTGTCTATGGCAATGCTGGCCAGCGACTATCTCAGAGAGCTATTGACTGCATGCACCACTGTTGTGTGAATAGAGTACAGTAGCGATCCAATCATCAAAAATATGCTGCAAAGTAAGTACTATCTTTAGGGTAATAATAATAATTGGACCCCTTTGAATACTGAATACTGAGCTAGTTTAAAATAAAAATGTGTATTCCTTGAGCTCCCTGCTGGGCCTTCTGTAAGCGTTTTAGGACCATAGCAATTTAAACGCTTTAGATTTGCTGAACTCTGTTTGTCTTAACGCCTTCTGATCAGAGCGCTAATGGCCTCGGCAAGAGTAGTCTGAGATGTTTTGCCAAGCAAATCAATAGTACATAGAGCATCTGGGAAAACAGGAAGTGATTTTTTTTTTTTCATATGGTGCCAGTGCACAACAAAGGTTATCTCAAAGTGCTTTACACATTAAGCAGGTCAAGAATCACACTCCTCAAGAGAAACCCAGCTCTGTGGGGCTTCCATCTGCCTCGGACAGTTGGTTTGAGAAGGAGAGACTTTTGCTGATCCAAAATAGGATTGTTGAGCCTTGGTGGAAATCTGAGCCCTACTGAACATATTTGCCATTCTAGTTTGGAATGAATTGACCAATAATCCTCCTAAACATTTGCTGATAATTACTGTTGCCTTGGGTATTGGCTGCACATTCGGCTTTTTGCTCTTCAGTGTGTGACTATTCAATTAAGAATTCAAGCACAAATGAGTTTCTTTAATTGCGCACTATGTGGTCATTTAAAAATGCACTGCGGATTCTCGATAATGCTGAAATAAGGTATACAGATGAGGTTCATTCTGCATGCAGTAATCTGATTTTCAGTCAATTGGATAGGTATGAGAATCACTTGACCTCAAGGAGTGCATCTTTTAACCCAATTATTGACTTACTCCTCAAGATCCATAAATCAACCTGTCATTATTAAACTGGCCACAAATATTCACGTGCGATGGGCGATACAAACAGCATCGTGCTGTTGTGGGTGGGAGGAGAGCTCAATGAGAAGAGGAGAGGGTTGTTCGGCTGAGAGGAAATTAAACATTGATTTACACTCTTGCCCCAAATGTCTCACGTTAAATAGATTACCTGAAACAACTTTCCCCCAAGTGCGGTGAGGAAATCAACTTAAAAATAAATAAATAAATAAATACATGTATTACAGATCAATACTTATCTCCACTGCCACAGGTTCAGTACACCAAATCTGTATACGAATATTGCATAAAATCTAGTTTTATTCAAGTCACAAAAAATAAATAAATAAAAACAAATCATGCTTTAGAAACAACTAGAGCAGAAATGTCAAACATACGGCCCGCGGGCCGGAACCGGCCCGCAAGGAGGTTCGATCAGGCCCGCAGGATAATTTAAAAGTGAAAAAATTCATCAGAGACACAGAATGACTACTTTTAATAAGGTGCAATTCATGGAGTATCCGCTAGATCTGTTTATTAAATTTCAACATTTTCCTCATGTTCTTGTGCTTCTTTAGACCAAAACAAAGGAAAGGCATTATTTTGGTTATTTTTAGCAGAGTATGGTCTAATTTTAATGGTCCGGCCCACTTTACATCTACCGAGGCTATATGTGGCCCACAATGTGAAATGAGTTTGACACCCCTGAACTAGAGGTTCAGTAGCTTGCTCACAGGTACTTCAACAGGATTTCAGTGGTAGCTGGTATTCAAGCCAGCAACCTGTTTAGACTGCAATTTTAACAACTAAGCTATGGGATCTGAATAAAAGTGAGTTAACTCTAAGTACAGTGCCGGTAACCTTATGGTGTTCTAGGTAACTCGCTGTCAGGTTTTGGACATTTATTTATTTATTGATTTATTTATTTGAACTTCATCTGCTTTCCAACTTTGTGTCCTACGATAAACTGTATTTGTGAGCTGCTCATCACCAGAATGACATTGCTAGAATAAATATGACTGGTACATTAATACAATCGCTTCAAACAACATGACGTATGTATGAATAAATGTTACAATTGTATTATTGTTAGTGTTATTTGTGGGGGGGTTTTCATGCATGTTTTACTTGGGACTGTTCACACAATGTGGTTTAGAACAGAAATCGGTGTCGTTTTGGATTGTTTGTTTTCAGGCGACGTCAATATTTTATGGTCCGAAACCACAAAACGGGTCTTGATTTGGAAGGTTTTGACAGCTCTGTTGTGTCTGAGTAAATGTCATCCCTGTAGTGTTTCAGCCAAAATCACAAAGTGTTGCCTCCAAGACCTGTTCATTCTGCCCGAAAAAAAAAATAAATAAATAAGTTTTCCATTCACTTATTTTTTGTATTGCAAACAGAAAAGTAAATGAGCTTGTTAACAGGGTGGACAATTACATTTTTGGCCAATGTTAGCATTTATTGAGCACATGGCGTGCGTTCCCTTTACGACACGATTCAGTGAGCAATCTGTGTCCTCTTTGATTTCTAAAAGGTTATATATCAATTCATATTTCACGCTGGCCATGTGGACACGTTTGGCTTGACAATATCTAACCACACATGATGGAAATTTAGTCCATCACAATCAAAGACACAGCGATTATCGCTTGGTTGTTTTTAATGCTTCATGGAGTAGCATTACTTGCATATGACAACTTCTGATTGTTCATAAATGCTGATAAAGGTTTTTCGAAATACAGAAAAACAAACCAGAAA